ACAGTTGGTCTCCCGTCTGGTCGGCTTGCACAAGTTGCACATCATGCCGCTCTACTCTTACTTCCAAAAGTACCTTACGCCCCGCCAGCCCTCAGTGACTTCCTTCCTGGCATCCCTGGCCCAAGCCTCCCACGACTTGGTGCCTCCTGACGTTCTCGAGCCTCTGGTTCAGAAGATTGCAAATGAGTTCGTGTCTGAAGCATCTGCAGGTGAAGTTGCGACCGCTGGTCTGAATGCCATCCGTGAAATTTGTGCCAGACAGCCTCTGGCTATTGATGAGACCCTGTTGCAGGATCTTGTCATGTACAAGAAGAGTAAGGATAAGGGTGTCATGATGGCGTCCAAGGGTCTTCTCAGTCTTTACCGAGATGTTGGTGCGCAGATGCTGAAGAAGCGTGACCGTGGCAAGGAGGCCGCAATGAGTCTGCGCGCTGGTGAAAGACAAGAAAGACGTTACGGTCAGCAAGAGGCCGGTGAAATCGAGGGCCTGGAACTCTTGGCCAAGTGGAAAGACGAGGAGCGCCGCAAGAGGAATATCGAGAATGGTCTTCCCTCAGATGCTGAAGATGACGAAGTGGAGAATGACGAAGCCGACTGGGCAGCCTGGAATGTCGAAGATGATGACGACAGCGATGTCGATGGAGAATGGATCAATGTGGAGGACGATGTTGAGATTGTGCTGAGCGATTCCGAGGATGAAGGCAAGCCGGCGGCCAAGAAGGCCAAGCAGGCAGAAGAGGCCAAGAAGGACGCTGAAAAAGAACCGGAAGCCGACAAAGCCATTGATTTCATGAAACTGGCTACCACCCGCATCCTCACACCCGCCGATCTCGCCAAGCTTACCGAGCTCCGCGCCCAGGCAGCCGCCGATGCAACTCTTCCGGGTAACAAGGGCCGCGTCGCTGCCCCATGGACCTCCCGCCATACCGATGACCCATTGACTGCTGGTGAGATTGAGGGTCTTGCTGCTCTGTCTGCCGCTAAGGCTACTCGTGAAGAACGTATTGCCCACGCCAAGGAGGGCAAGACCACTGATCATATGAGCAAGGAGGCTCGCCGCAAGGAGCGCAAGGAGGAGGCAGGAAAGAGTAGCACCAACAAGGAGAAGGCTCGCAAGAAGAACTTCCTCATGACGCTGGGCAAAGCTCGCAGCAAGAACAAGAGAAGTTTGGTGGAGACCCGCGCTGTGCTCCGGGCCCATGTCGACCGTGGCAAGAGAGGCGGACGCAGAGGAAACGTTGGCCAGTAGGCCTTTTATGTCCTTTTTTAAAATAATGATTGTTCGTTATATACAGTACATTACCTTTGTTGCACGGTTGCAGGATATATAAAAGAGCATATACTATCCTCTATGGCCATTCTTTTGCATTCGAATTGTAAGACTAGAAAGATGATATTTTTCTTCTATGGTACCTATGTTGTAGGTAGTATATGATGTCCACTAATATAAAATATAGATTGGACGCGTGAGTGGATCTACGCGTACCGCGTTAAGTGGTCCCGTTGCCTGAGCAGCCTCGTTATCATTTTGCATTTTCTTTTCCTCCTTTCCCTTCACACTACGTCACTTTCTCATCTCAAAATCACCCTGAGATCTGAAATCCCACACCTTTTTCCTTTCACATATCTCCAAATCCTAACCCTTTTTTTCCAAAATGCCCTCCATCAACTCGACGTCCAGCGACTTGTCGAAGCGCCGACGCTTCCAACCTCCCATCACGACGTTCTTCACCTCTTCCACGGAGCCAGTGTCTTCAGATACACCTGCAGTATCACACCGCCACCATTATGCCGCAGAAACCTTCTCTGCCCACCCCGTTGTGCCCGCCAAAATCCAATCCTCTCTTCTGTCCGTCGGAATGCGGGTCCGGAAATCTGTCGCAGACGGATATAGAACCCACATGTCCAAGACAGAAGAAAAGGCCCCACTCCCTACAGCTGTTGCTCAGACCCCTCGCGTCCAGCCCTACCATGGTAGCAGATGCTCCGAGCTGCCGCCATTTTCTGGCGCTGGTAAATCCTCCTTTAGTCACAATGACTACCTTGTCACCGACGATGGCGACGCATACTCGATCCCACCAAGCAGCCAAGACTCGGTTGCGTCGTTTGCCTTGGGTGGCCAAAAGCGGGCTTTGGAGTTAGATGGCGATATTCTCGTCAATGAGGATGTCAACGAATCAGTCAACAATTTCAGCGGTTCCTGGCGCGAGACCTCATATGGACGAACCATCCTGCCCCCCAATTTGGGCCAAAGTCGCCGCATTCTTGCGGTGCGTCATCGCAAGATTGAACAACCCACTATGGACATGGATGATTTTGAAGAAGCTACATTCCTCCGCCGCCGCGAGGAAGTTGATGCAGAGGATGTGCGAATGTACGGTGCTTGAGCTGTTAGCTCTCGCTTTTCGTTCCCTTTTCTCGCGCACCACTGTATGGCATGGCTTACTATCTTCTTGCTTATGCTTGGGCCTGGAATCGGCTTGGTTTCTTTTGTCAGACTTCTATTATACCCACTGTTGTTCTTTCTTGCACCATATTGTCTTATATCATTATCTTTTCCATCTGCAGAGCAGTGAATGTAATTTATCAAGATTATTATATTATTTTTCTAGATGCTACTAATAATTAGGCTTGTAGTCAACTTTCGGATCTACTTCAAAGGTGGGTGTGGATGTGGTTTGGTTTACCTACAGACCGATTACCTGGAAATAATGTAATTGATGCCAGTATCTTGGACTAAAACTAAGAATATACAAAAGTAAAGCAACTCGATAGTCAATGAGACACATTTTGTATACAAATACAACAGTCACCAAATGGAAGATATATCTTCCCAAGATGTAGTCCCATTGTTCCAAACTACCACCCTAGCAATCTTGCCCAGTATACTTGAACCTTCAAAAATCTCGGAAGCTGGGAGGATGGGTATCTGATAATACCGAAATAATCTTCTCTCGGCGACGATATTTCTCATTTTTGAGCGCGATAATGGTATCCTTCAAGGGCCAAAATTAACATCCATATCAAACACTAGAAGACATGTTGAGCAGGTGTTGAAAGGTGGGAAAGCGCAAGAAAGACAGGTGCGTAGTACAATATATATCTTCTCCCGCGTCAATGCCTCTTTTGCTCAAAACATCCAAAGCTTTCCCGACACAAAAATGGAAATCTAAACCAAAATGTATAGAGTCGTTCTCTAATTGAATATTGGAATGTCCCCTGCGAGTATAAACCTGGGATACGTGGACCTGAATCTATAGATATTGATATGAAAACTCGTCACCCACTGACCCGACCTGAGACGATTGAAAGGACGCGCAAAAGGAAGAAAGCGAGGAGGAACCTGATAGGACAGGGACATCCAGCAAAGAAACTCCCATTCACCCTGAACTCAATGAAAGTCCCGAATGATTATGTTCTTACAGACTTTCATAGATGTCCTCTTATCTCACAAGATAGACTACTGATGAGATATTTGTCCCAGACAATTGCCGATTTTGTCGATGGCCAATCACGACCGTGTCTTTGGTGCCTGAGCTCGCATTTCGTGATGGAGAAGCGCAGGAATTTTGGATGATTACTTGCCTGAAATCATTGCCAAATTTATCAATCCTGGAAGACTTACTATGGAAGTACCCTGGGAGTTGTGGGCTTAAACATACAGAGTCACCTTTCAAGCATCAATCAAGGCATGTATATCTTCCTATTACTTCTCATTGCCCTTGGTTTGAATTAAGGCATCCGGAGGAGGGTATATCGATAGAAGATTGCATTTAATTCAACGATAAAGCCACTTAGACAAGCCTTGTCGGCTTTGTCGAGTAGTCCCCTCCACTAGGGGTCGTGTGTTGTGTGTGAGATGAGCACCACTTAGCAGGATCGGGCGTTGCCAACACAGCTCAGCATGGTCAACCATGAGATAGAGAACGTGAAATAGAGCAATAGAGGTGTGTTTTTGAGCTCTAATTATTGTCTCATCGATGGGGAATGGGCTGGGGTTGGATGGGTGACGACAGAAGACATGGCGATCAACAAAAGATGAGACTTGCTGGATTTTCTTTACTCTGAGACATAATGGCAACAATAGCAAAGATTGTGAGGAGATAATGTGGTAGAGATGAGAGAGATGCAGGTTCAGATGTTTGGAGTCTCCGTCTGATGAGGCGAAGAAAAAGAGGAAGGAAACTTAGCAAGTTGGAAAACTAAGCAAGAGAGCATTACCCGCATAGACACTAGCGATAGTATATAACTGATATACGAGAATATATGAGAGTAATGTTCGTTTGATCTTCTATCATGTACTTCGTATTCACCCATTGGGCATCGATTATGACTTGAACGTTCAACGCAATAAATATCACCGTTCGAGGCACCAGGGAATAGACAGACTATCAAGGCCACTCTCCCGGCGGATATATACCTAGGTAATTCAATGTTGTTCTTATCAAATATGCTCTTGAATCGAGACCTTCACAGTCAAGGACAGTAATGTGTGACCTGAGTGATATTTATATTGTTATGGCTACTGGTAAAGGGGAGGAAGAGAAAGAGGATTCATTGTTTTTCAATCTAGGAGAGAGTAGGGCATTTATACCGGCCTAACAAACAACTCAGTCTACAAACAATGGGAAATGAGGCCATCCAACACATAATGAAGGTATCTAAGGCTCGGTGACATCAAGGGAAAGCCCATAGTGACCCAGTGATTTTTCGATAAACTCATGGGCAAAAATGTCAAGATTGTGCTTGGTCAGGTTCAGCTCGGGAAGAAGAGTTGTCCGGTGAGCCATACCCTTGAGATGACCATGCCAGAGCGAACCATGCTGATTCCATCACCAAAGCAGCCTGCAACCTTGGAAGTGAAGAAGATATGTTGTTCAACTTAGACACGACAGAAGAGGTGACAGGAGGGACTAGCTAGCGAGGCAGATGGGTGAGTAGGCGGCTTCCAACTACTAAGAACTCACCTATTCTTTCACTTTGTAGTTACCCTCACGAGATCAAACCATTCCCCTCGCTTCCATCAAGATCTCTCTCACATCCATATAATCCTCATCATCCTTGTCTAAGACAAACTCCTCTAGTTTATCAAGGATCTCCAGCACGTAATCCTGACAATCCCACTCAACAGTCTCGTTGTCCACCGGCACGCTTTGTGCAGCACTCTTTACTCTCTCAACGTCATCCTCTCTAAGCACAGCAATGAAGAACTGTTGTAGGAAAGTGTTTGATTCTTTCGGGTTTTCCATCAACGTGTTGCGTTTGAACTGTGGATGTTCACCATCAACTTCGAGAATGTCATGCTCTTGGCCCTTTTCTATATGCAGCGCCCAGTGCAGAAAGTTTCCATAGCGTGGTCGGTAGAACACAACAAAGAGTTTTGGCGACATTGCATTTGCGTGGCTTGACATCTTAGCTATGTTGTTGCTAAGGGATTCACAAGTTTCTCTCACCTTGGGTTGTTCACAGACACGGAGCTCTTCTGCAAATTTTAGAGAATAGGTATGGGTGCAGGGATAGATGGGGAATGAGAAGCGGTTAAGCTCCATATTCTATGTAGGGAAGGAGTCACATGGTTGCCTAATGCACACATGCCTGATAGATCAGGCTTCAAGGTACTTTAAAGGGCTTGTTTAGAACACAGAACTTTGCTTTCATTGAACGGTAGTGCCTTAAAAATACAACCTATGGGATATCAACATTAGGAACAAAACCCTTGACGGTATTAATCCTCATTAAAGATCAAATGAAGTGGAAGATACTGTGAAACGCCATATACTGTACACCCTGGGACACCATATGTAAACATTGAAATCAAATCCTCTCAGCCAAAGAGGTACTTCTGCCAGCTCTGTTTCCAAGGCTTCCAGGTTCCCCCAAACCGATGGTTAATACAAGCGTGCTGGCTATGGAAGTTTTCCGCTCCAGAATGCCGCTGGCCATTGCCCCAAGCGTTGACAGGCAGGACACATAGTCCTCCCAGCTGCTTGCCAGACCTGGCCTCAGGACCTTCGACACAGAGTGGTTCTTGAATCCCGTGGAAAGGCGCCCACGTCACACGCTGTACAGACGAAGCCGAGGACGAGAACCCAGCGTCTGCATCCACAGACTGCTGAATTAACCGGTGTGTAGGCGGCAATGTATCCGACAGCACATCGAGAATGGCATCTGTAAACACGCCCGGGCCGGTGATCTCCAGCGTATCCATTTCGTTGTATCCCTCATTCCAGAAATGACTCTTGTCGAGACGTTGCTTCGTGTGGGACAGTACCCGGACGATGATCTCCCTCAGCAGGGGACTGAACCGTCGTGGTGCATACATTGTATACTGGATGAAGCCGTAGCGTCGGGCCCAGTGCCAGTCGCGCATCTTTTGTGGCGAAGCGAAAGGCTCGTCAATCTCAATTCCGACAACTAGCGTGATGTTTGCATTGATTCTGCTGTCTTTGAAGATTGACTCGCGCAGTGAGGGACAGGATTTGATGCTTCGTGCAGGGTATACGTCAAGGTCGGCATAGTACCCGCCGTAGTACCATAGGATTAAGTAGCGGAGGAGATCACCGCGGTGGACGGAGTGAGGGTATGATTTGTAGAGCCGGCCGATTTCTGGGATGGATTTGAGAGTTTCGAAAATGAACTTGTCGGCCCATTCGGCTTGTACGAGCTATAAATTGTCAAGTTAGCTGTCGTTCGAGCTGATATTGAATTATCGCAATATGAATTGTTTGTCTTACTTTGTATTTCCAGTCCGAATTCTTCTCCTCGAATTGAACTGAATCGTCGCTTCGCTGGGTGATGGTGCCTGGTAGCATAATCTGCCACAATGTGTCTGCCGCATTCTCATCGTGGCGCATTCCCCTTTCTATTTCGATCGCGCGTAGCGCATTGGAGAGCTTGACCTCATATCCATAGTCTGGGTTTTCACGAAAGGGAGACTGGTGAAGATATCGTGGTCGGTCTTGCCCGTATGACTTATCGATGCGGGGGTCTAGCCTGATTGGCGAGGGTAGAGACTTGAAAAGAATGAATAGAGTCAAGATCGCGGCCACCAGCACAAATTTATGCCGGTTTGAAGACCCTAGAAACGAGCGATTCCTCATGGTGAATGATGAACATGGCCATCACAAATCAGAGAGGTTCGTTCACGGGTAATTTTGAGGGGGGAATTTTCCTTGGGCTGTCAGCCCCCAAGAGACCTCATCTCGTTTGTTTCACCTGATTGGTGTAACTTCTATGGAGCCTGGATAAAGGCTTGGGGAGATTCACTTGGCGTAGTATTTGGGGAAACAGGCAGCAAGAACTCTGTGTCTGAATTGTGATCTGGGATTTCAGATTTACAATGGCTCCAATTAATCACCTTGAAGGAAGATGCATAGAACATTTCTGATTTGTTCTGTGGGGTTGACCCTGAATATCTTGGCATATTCTTGGCATTCTATATCAGGAACTATGGAGCGATACGGCACGAGGAGAGCAAAAAGCTTGGCTATACTGGTATAGGATCATATTGGTTTTAGAAAGTCCTGTCAATCTCACGATTATTATTCTTTCAATTTCTTCTTTCTTTAGATCTTTTCTTTACTGACATGGCATTTGATAAATTTTCTCTCATCAACACCCCAAAGCGCGTAAAGCATCCAACTTCGATATCATGTGTCGCGATAGCTAAGCAACAGTACTCTTGACCACGAGACCGATGTCTCTTTTCTCTCTTTCCATTTAACTCGCCATCATCGTCAGTTGTAACAGCACCTACGCTCTCTTCCGTGTGGGAGATAGCAAGTGTCTACAGGTATGTGTGATCTCCACTGAGTGAAATATGAGAGAATCACTTACATTTGATATAGCACAATGTCAGGCAATACAAGCAGCGGCCCTGGTACCATCCCGAGACAAGTCGCAAGACAAATTAGGCAACAGAGCCAAACCCGAGGGCGTTCAGCAGGACGATCCGGCCCATCGAACTCTCAAACCAGTAGCCACCGAGCTGCTCCATATCATAGCCCTATCCGTTCTGGTATGGGCAGCAGTCGCTATGCCACTGCCTCAACTGATGAGGAAGAATCATTTGAACCCGATCTCATGGAACTTGATCCGATGGAAATCGACACCCCCGCCCAAGAGCCTGCACCAGCCATCGCAGCGACTCGCATGACCGAAGAACCTACCGAGAATGGCATCTACCGGCATCTCTTTTACATCCCCATTCGATCTCGCCCTATGCCGACTCTAGACCTTGACGTGCTAACTGCCGCTCGGGCTGAATTGACTCGTCTTCAGAGGGCGGGGATGCCAATTATGGACGCACTTCTTGAGCGACCTGCACCTCATGTCTACATCCGTATTGATACTGACCAGCCCAACCGTGATCACGCCATTACTGATGCCAATCTTCGGATGGGTACCATGCAGGACATGATTCGAGATGGCTTCGGCTGGTTTACGGGCTTGCCTTACCGCCATCCACATTTCGAAGTCAAGTTTCTTCGTGGTCGACGCCTCTAGGTTGAGGCTTTGTGGTTCAGTGTGTTTCTGAACTTCATGAGCACCGTTTCGGGTTGAGAAGTGGGATTGATGAGCTTAGCACGGGTTCGGTTGAGCGGATTTGAGGCATTTTGACAGCCTATGTGTTCTCGAGTGACCAAGATCCATTGGTTAGATCTTTTCCTTGTTGTTCCTGCTATCCTGTCCCTTCTTCCATTCATCTTGTTTCTCTCCTTTCTGCCTACGCTTCTTCTCACATCCAGATAGCCACAGCTACTATTCTTAATGATTTTACTATCATTCATGGATCACAAAGACCTACCTACTTACCTGCATAGTATCCACGAGATCAAGAATAAAGTAACCAGTGATGCATTCCAGGATATCCCACAAACCTAACTAGTGAACATCGAATGATCCCAAACACCATAGCCTCATAGCTTCATAGCCTCTAGAACGCCATGACGAACTCCAGCAATGCAATTCTCACCCAATCCCATCAAAATAAAACCGAATGACCTTCACTCATCTATCGGACGTAACGCTAATGTAGTCTCGCCCTTCTCATATCCCTGCCAGGCCCGTTCAACGGCCTGGATAGTAGGCCAGACCTGCTCCCGAGCATCCTTCCGACTAACGCCCTCCTCGAGCAACTTCTCATAAGGCGTATGGACATGTCGAATATGTGCCTCAACAGCCAAGAGTGTCTTTCGATCATCACTGATCATCGCTGTTCGCCCTACACGCCCCGATCCCTTGAGAAAGGCATGCTCCAGGACGGTTTTGAGGGTTTCCTTGGGCATAAGCGGGAATTCGCTCTTCAGGAGTTCTCGGGATTTAGAGAGATCCTTGGCGTCGCGTACTTGAACCGCATTCGCACGCGACTCTTTTGTTGCGGCGGCTGATTCGAGAACTTCCGTGTAAATTTCTTCAGGAACTCGGATCCCCAGCGTTCTTTTGCCCGTGCGGTTCTGGGGCTGTTAGTGGTCCATTTCCAGGCCTGAAACTGGGGATTTAAATGAGGACTTACATAAACGACGTAGACAATCCGCTCGGACTCCTTGGTCCTACTGCGGCAGTGCCGAGTGATATAGACATCACCCTTGGGGACTAAAACGTAACCATCTGGCAAGGGTACTTGCTCAACAATGTTCTAGTCTCGATCTTCAGCGTGTTATCCTTCAGTATTGATACGATTCAAGCTCACCTTTTCGAGTGGATCATCGGAAACAGGAATGAGGGCTGCCCATGTTTTCTTAGGTTTACGACGCTTCGTCGTGTCGTTGAGCACTTCGGCAAGCGGCTGAACTGGCGAGCTTGCATCTGCTGGACGTGCGTGACCTTCGCGAGTGCGAACACCACGGCTCTTCTTTCTCACACGTGGCTTGCGTTTGCGGACTTTGGGTTTAGTGGTTGGTGCCATGTTGAGTGTTTATGGACCCAACGAGGTTGATGAGTTGAAGGTTGACACGGTGTTCAGATGCGACTCGTACATCGATTCCATTGAAGGAGAAGTTCTGGCAACACCGAAATCTTATTGTCCTTCAATGTTATTTTTGGACCTGAAACATTTCAGGGTCTTTGATACTTCCATGTACGATCAAAGCAGGAACGGTGGCTGTGTGTGGCTGTGTGCAGCCTCGCTTTGATGCCTGGATAATCAGGCCTTAATATGCAACAATGTTCGTTAACTAGTAAACTGGTTAACTACAGTTGGTCTTTCTCACATCTATGTGCGGAGTATAAGAAGTTAAATGTATTCGGATAATGACATCTCAAGTATTCATTGCAACGTACGGAGTACTTGAACTATACAGGCCAAAATATGGGTAGTCTCTGGTTTCCACTGTAGATCCCGGTTATTACCGCTTTAGACGAAGTTGATACATCTATTCTCCTAAAGTACTAGTAGGTTCCCGATTATCTTTGATTCCCGTATGTGAATCGACTGGTCAAGCGTGCTGATATTACATATGAGATCAGCATAAGCCGGGGAACCGATTATCCGGACCTCATTGGTCAGATCCATCACCCTAGGGATAGATCCCATAGGATAAGATTGGGATCATCAGATCTCCAGATTGTGAGATTGGGGTTGAGCTTCAAAGGTCAAGAAAGTCTCCAATCTATGTGATGAATATCGATGTACGGAATACGGAGTATAGACAACCCTAACAAGTCGGCGGATACGGGGAACTGGAACATTGAGTAAATAATCATCATCTTTAGGCACAAAGAGACGCCAAGAGGGTTTGCCAGGGGCTTAGCTGTCCAAATCCAGATTACCCCAGTTGAACACGTTAGATTTCCCCCTTTCCAGTTCTGCGGTGGAATATCCGAACGGTCTTCCGACATTCGTATGAAGCTCTAATTACTCCCACGATATATCCGGAGCCTCAATCTCAAGTCGTCATACTGGTTGCCTAAAGGAGCTGAACCGGCATCCCCGAAGGCTTATGGTAGTCTAGATCCGGGGGGGGGGGGTCTGAGTCCTGAACATTGGAGATTGGTAAATGTGTTCATATCCTGTTCCTGCATGAAGCACAACATAACCGGAACATGAACATGAACACTGTGGATCAAATAAAAAAAATCCGAGTCCCCACGTAAAAAATGGAAAAAATTATATAAAAATGAAAAAGAATAAAAAGAATAAAAAGAATAAACCAGATTTTTTTTCTCTTTACAAAAAAAGAAGAAAAAAACGACAAACAGAGCAAAAGAAAAACACTTTACTCTCCAATCTACAACTTCTCCCTTTATACCCTCTTTACTACATTGTACACTATGAATTAAACTCCAATGATCTTACTCCCTTACTATCTCTCACATTCTCAAATTAAAGTTGCCTGGCAGCTTGATCTTCAATGGTTACTGGGCCTGTGTTGCTGACATGAGTTGGGATCACCCTGTCCACAGGTATGCATTCTCCCTTGAACCCCTTGTGGAGGTGTCACATTGTAGTCTTCTCTTTTTTTCTTGTTGCAATCCATACTATATACCTATATGAAAGACGCTCATGGATTCGTTTATGTTTAGCTTCAGCTATCCCAACGGTGAGCCTCAAACTCCGACGAGGACCCCGAATACCTTCGACTCGTTTCACACCCCAAAACTCGAATCCAGCTTTTTTGACCCCCGAGTGACCTGGGATACCTCCGATCCATATGCCTCCAGCCCGGAGCTCCTCCGCACACCGCAGAAGTTTGGTCTAGGCTCGTCCAATCCACTGAAAAGTCACAATGGGGAGACCACCGGTTACAGGGGGAGGTCCTCGGACCAGACCGATACGGCCAGACGGATTCGCCCGATGAAGCCCCTCCCGATGAGCGAAGATTACCCTCGGACAGTGGGATCAGCCAAGTCAGCAGCCTCGATGCAAACCCCGCCGCCGACAAGTGCATCGAGGCGAAAAATCCCCGAGTTTGACCAGGCCGAGGGACATACCCAGGAAGGAACCCCGGGCATGGGAGGTCATCTGGAAACACCCAGTCGTCTTCTCGGAGCATCTCCTCGAATGTTCGGCAACCTTCAATCGTCGCCCGATCTTTTTCAGCTGGCTTCATTGGATCCCACGGGCTCGCCTTTCTTCCCACAGCAACGACTCTTCTGGGATCATGATCTAGACAATACAGCGAGCGAGATCCCCTTGCCCAGCAATGGAGACAATTTCAATACTCGTCAGGCCTCCGCCTTTACAAACACCCATCATGTTCCCCAGTTACCAAACATTGGTGGTTCAATTGATCTTCCCGACTTTGGCAACGCTTTTGGAATTTCAGCACCATCGCCCACTGATGCTGCTCTGTTTCCTGCGCCATTTTCTACCTCTCCCCGGCTTCCGGTCACCAAGGCTGAAGATCCGGCTCTGTTTCTCAGCTCCCCTGCTCGGAGATTCGGAGGGCCTCAACTCACACCTGAGACGCGGTCTCTTCGTGGTCTGAGACAGCCCTATCACCACCAGGCAGAAGAGTCAAGACGGGAGGAGCTTATCCGTGCACAGGCACCCAATGGTCACCGATCCGATCCTTTCACTGCCTTCCCGAGCGAGAGCGAAGAGGAAGATGACGACTACACACCGAGGGGAGTCCGACCAGGTCTAACCCGCAGTATGACACACAACGGCCTACCTAGCTTATCCCGGCCGCTCAGTCAAGCTGGGGGACTGATGGCGTCCACCAGCGGAATCCGAAAAAGTCCATGTAAAGGGCGTTCGTCTCCAGCAAAACCCATGCGTCCAGCCCCCTTGACACGATCTAGTTCGACAGCCACCAGTTCCTTGACGCGCTCATCGTCTGTAGTGCTTCGCATCGGTCGAGATGGTCGTGCAAAGGCTGAAATGGAGCCACTCAGTGAGACTCCCACAGGGTTGACTGATCCCCTGACCGGGCTTGATCTAGATGGCTCTACAACCGAGAGTGAATCGGATCCAGCTGACTTCTCGGAATATCCTGTGCTACATCGCGCTCAGTCGTCCTTTTCGCTTTATGACGGCTCAAGGCGTCCACTATCCCGGAGTGACTCAGACTCCCGGCCTCCTTCCAAGGGATCATACGCTTCCACCGTCGGCTCATCACACTCGGGTCGGATGTCACCCTGGGCTGGCTCTACCAGGGCGGGCGGGCGACCAACGTATCGAGGATCTCCTGATATTAAGCGGACACCCAAACGTCATTCGTCTCTGCTGCACTCGGACTCGACCTATACTAGGAGTAGTGCTGCATCAGACTCGTTGCCCGGGGAGGACGACGAGAGTGGCGATGCTCAATCGGCACTCCGACAGGTCCTCAAAGAACGCGGCCGGGGACCAAGACCCACTACGACGTTTGGCAACCGACTGTCTCGGTCATCACACACCTTCACTCATCTCCGCTCATCACCACCTCGCCTTGGCAGTGATTTTGACATACATCCCCGCCACAATGCTTCTCCCACGACCTTGACCGACCCTGATCTTGCAACCCCAAGCACAGAGCGTCACAGCAACCCCAGCAACGGTACACGATGTGTTTGCCGCTCGATGGATAATGGTGGCCATCTCATGATTCAATGGTGAGTATCAGTCTCCATCGGCCTTGATTCCAAAGTCGATTGTACTAACTTTCCCAGTGAATCGTGTACACACTGGCTGCATACCAGATGCGTTGGATTGGAGCGTGGAAACCTGCCCTCCGTCTATGTCTGCGTCTTTTGTGCTCAAACAACACCATCCCGACAACACCGTGTCCGAACATCTTATGTTCCCACGGGGCAAGCCCCTCTCTCTCCCTTGGCTCACAAGTCATTCCGCTTCCGGTAACCCCGGTGCGTTGACTACCATCTTGGATGCATATATGTCTTGGAAAGACCGGTACCTCTTGATTTCTTTTGTGTGATTCTTTTCCCAGCCGGGCTCTTTTATACTCTGCATTAGCCGGGCCACCCTGCCCCATTTCATAATCGCCCTTCTCATAACCCCCTCTGAGACCCCCATTACCCCCTTATGATACCTATGTACTATTCCCTCACCCTGGACAACCCCAGAATAGAATTATTTCTATACTTCTTCACATCTTCTCTTATTAGTGTCCTGCAGGACTCCCCGCATATCGGGGTAGCGAACCGGTCTCGGGAGAGGAGCCGGCCCGGGGCTGCACTACCTGCATGCTCACAGGAACACCTGGGCTATTTAGTTCCACAATAGCCCCGCGGTCCTTCTTCCTTAATTGATCTCTCGCCTCTACGCTGCATAATCTCCTAGTTGGCCGAACTTCACCCGTGTTTATAAGCTGGCCCTTAACAAAAATTCCTACCAGGTACCGGGCGGGACATTGTATAGATCGGGCTGCAGTCTGATTGGCCAATCCACACTTATCGGCACACCGCCCTTTTATCGAAAAAGTGCTTTTCTCCCCGCGGAGTCAGATCGCCTCTCTCACTTTTTTTTTTTTTTTTTACGCGCCATTCACTCCCTTTGGTCCCATTTCCAGTTGTTTGTGCTCCGTCATTCACTTGATCCAATGTCTGCCTCTCTCCCTGGCAGTCGGGACCTGCCCGCGTCGCAGTATGATCTGAAGACCTATTGGGGTCGCGTGCGCCATGCCGCCGACATTGCTGATCCTCGGTAAGTTCAGATTGAAGATATTGGTGGGTTTCCCAGTATATACTGATCATCGCAATCATACTAGGACCCTATTCGTTTCGTCTACCGGTCTCGAAAATGCCAAGAGCCTCATTGCTTCTTACAAGCAGAACCGCATCCCGATCATGACACCGGAGTTGTGGTCGGCGAAGAAGCTGGTTGATGCGACACTGCACCCTGGTATGGGCTCATCAAAGTCATATAATAGCCACTAGCTAACATAGGACCGACCAGACACCGGAACTCCCGTTTTCTTGCCCTTCCGCATGTCGTGCTACGTGCTCTCCAACTTAGTCGTCACAGCAGGCATGTTGACCCCAGGATTGCAGGTGAGCATCTCTTTAGCGCATACCCAAATATACACACACCTGAACAATGTACTGACAATATAGACAACCGGCACTCTCCTCTGGCAAATTGGTAACCAGTCCCTCAACGTCGCCGTCAACAACGCAAACGCCAACAAATCTACCCCCCTCTCCTTCTCCCAAATCGGCAAGTCCTACCTCATGGCTGTCTCAGCATCCTGCTCCGTCGCAGTCGGCCTGAATGCCCTCGTCCCTCGCATCAAGAGCATTTCCCCGAACACCCGCCTCATCCTCTCCCGCCTCGTCCCCTTCGCTGCTGTTGCCAGCGCATCCGCCCTGAACGTCTTCCTCATGCGCGGCGAGGAGATCCGTCAGGGTATTGACGTCTACCCCGTCCTCTCAGCTGCTGAGCGTGCCAAGCGCGAGCTCAACGAGGACGCCGAGCCAGTTCAGAGTCTCGGCAAGAGTAAGAAGGCTGCTAAACTTGCCGTCGGCGAGACGGCTATCTCCCGTGTCTTGAACGCTACACCTATCATGGTCCTACCGCCGCTAATCCTCGTTCGTCTGGAGAAGACGGACTGGCTGCGTGCCCGCCCCCGCATGGTTACGCCTGTCAACTTGGCGCTGATTCTGGGTACTTCGATCTTTGCGCTGCCGCTTGCGCTCGCTGCGTTCCCGTCTCGCCAAGCTATCAGTGTTGATAGCCTTGAGGAGGAGTTCAGGGGTCGTGGTGGTGATTTGGGCATGGTGGAGTTCAATCGCGGAATGTAAGTTTTTGATCTTAGGCGTTTCGCAGCGTGCATATTACATTGTCTTTGCATAGGTCAGACAATACATAGACCCGTTTTCCGTTTATAAATGTCAGTATTGTTGTCCTTATAGACCATTCAATGAAGAATAGGTCCCACTATGCCCTTAAGAATGCCCTCAGCCCGCTCCGCTATATCTAGCAATTCATCATCTCCCCAGCGCCGGCCCATCAGCTCCAACCCAACAGGAACACCAAACACAGCAGAAGCAGTCTTAGGGCTCCGCCCAGCTGTATTCCACATGTTAGTCCAATACTTCATACTGAATAGAATCACCTACCGGGAATACAAATAGCAGGCCTCCCCGTCAACGCAGCCAAAACACCATTCCGTCCAGACTGCTTCTTCGCACCAATCCTCACAGGAAGCTGTGTCTGGTGCGGATATACCAGCGCGTCGACATCATATCGATCGAAACATTGTTTCACAGACTCTTTGAGAGCGGTAATATACTCCAGTCGACTTCGATATGCCTCGCTCGTCAGTGAAAATGTCCCAGGGTCTTCCAGTGCTGCAGAGAAAACATGCGTCATGGCTTGTGGCTCGAACTCGCCGCTCTGAGCAATAGACTCCAGTGATTGGTGCGGTGTTGATGAAACCAGTGGCGACTGCAGGAACTCGTCGAGATAGTGCTTGAACTCAAAAGCCTGTGTATCCGCCTTTTCAAACAGGGTTCCATAACTCCAGTCTGGATGACTAGATGGGGCAATAGGCACCAAAGTGATATCCGCATCTTGTTCCTGTATAGAATCCAAGCTCGACCGGATAATCTCCTGCACGATCTGGTTCTCGGCGATGTACTCCGACTCCACGGTTGCATCTGTATAGCTTTCAGGCTGAAAATAAGCCTCCAAGACTCCAATTCGAACTTGACGACTGGATCGAGGTATCGCTTCAGATGCATCCTTAGAATACACCTTCCCCCCATCCGTCCTCTTCATAACCCCATACAAAACCCTCACGTCCCCAACACTCCTCCCCATCGGCCCAGCCGCATCCTGTGTCTGGGAAACAGGTACAATCCCCATGCACGACACCCTCCCCGTCGACGGCCGGAAGCCCACGATTCCACACGCAGACGCAGGCGATCGCAACGAGTTCATCGTGTCTGTCCCACACCCCGCGAGCCCAAAGTTCGCCGCTAGCGCCGCGCCTGTCCCACCGGAGGATCCGCCCGGTGTGCGGGTCTTGTCGTATGGGTTCAGCGTTTGCCCGCCGAGCGAGGAGAGGGTTATTCCTTGCAAGGCAAATTCATGGAGGTTCGCCTTTGCTAGGATTATTGCTCCTGCGGCGCGTAGCTGGGAGACGACTTCGCTGTCATCTTTGGTGCGTAGGTTATGGAGAGCTTCCACGCCTGCGCTTGTTGGTAGATCTGCAGTGCTGTAGTTGTCTTTCAGGATTATGGGCACGCTGTGTAATGGTGGGAATGGTTTGTTGGTTTGGTTGAAGGTGAGTGTTTCGGTGACTTTTTCTATGGCGGTTTCTAGAGCTGCGCTGTTTATGGTGATGAGGGATTTGAGGGTCCCGTCGTGCTGCTTGATTGCTTCGAGGTATTTGTTTACCAGCTCCGGGCCAATGGAGGGGTCTATACGGAGCAGTTCATGAAATTTGGTGATTGTCATCTCTTCTGCCTGCCACGCTGGAGAGTCCATGGTGTTGAGTGGATTGGATAGAGGGGGACTTGGTGTTGGAGTTCCCCGGATGGTGGTGACCTCGGTATCTAACGATCGGCGCAATTCATGCACGCCAATACATGAATATGCAATTCAATTGACGAGTCGAGTATTGCTAATTCATGCTTTGCTCTGAACTAGCAATGTCAATTGTAACAGAAGTGGCCTAACTTTATAGAACGTGATGCGGCTTCAGGTTGTTCCGCTCCGATGTATAAAGAGACTGAGGCAAGGAGAGTCATATGCAGATTTGAAGAATTAGGAAATTGGAAAGAAACACATATATACACACATACGGTTAACAAGTGGACGCCACAAACAATCAAATGGTATAATCATCCAGACCTTAGCCTAAACCCTCCAGGGCTCCCAAAGCCGGATTCCATAAACACGGGGAAAGCAGAAATAACATGTAACCAGCGCCTTTAAGAATGGCATAGAAAGGATAGATAAAGCAAATAATGAAAGACCGAATAGCATCAGAGGATAGGTCCCTCAAGGATACATCGATTCCGGTTGCTCAAGGGTCCAATGCACCTGCCATGTGGTGTCACAAAGACAGCCGAAGCCTGCAGCCACCTGCAGGAGTCGAGGGGAAATCCCAGGGACCGAAAAGAAATTAAAAGAGAAGAGAAAAAAAAACATCGTGATCATGATTTTCCGAAGTGCAAACACCATTCCGTCCCATTCGCGATAGAGAAAAAGATTACCCTCAAGATATGAGCATTCTATCCATAGCTGGATCCTGTTCACGCCGGTTGAATTCCCCTTCTGATGCCGTAAAAGAGCCGAGTATAGGCGATTGTAGATGTGCAAACTGGATCGAAGGCCTAGGTGCGTGCTTGGCGATGCAATCCTTGGCCGATCCGGTAAGCCTCTGTGCCATCATCAACAAGTGTCTCTTTAAACCACGGGTGCTTCAATGCCTCCTTGGCAGTGATCCGGCTCTTGGGATCGTAGACAAAGATCTGTTGCAGCAAATCCAGGAAGGACCGGTTGAAGGGTGTGTTGGTAGGGATGAACTCCTATAGTAGACGAAATTAGCCAAAGTCCCACAGGCAGATATGCGAAACACTCACTGTCAAAGACTTCATCGCGCGCACATACTTCCGCGAAGCCCGGGTCGTTTCACTGTTGGGGTAGTCGATCTTACTTCGATTGAAGTACCTGGTAAAGTTAGTTCCAATTACAGAAAGATTGAAGGGTCATATTTACTTGGAAGCAGAATTGAGACTACCACCTCGGCCCGCCATGACTTTCTTCACCAAAGCGGTGTCGATTCGGTTGCCAATGACAGATTCCATCATCGCCAGATGCTCAAGATTGTCATGTGTCTGGAACAGGGCATCTCCGGTGAAAAATTCCACCAGGATACACCCAATACTCCAGATATCACATGGGAAGCTCCAGCCCAGGTTTAATATAATTTCAGGGGCTCGGTAGTGACGGGTAGACACGACAGACGAGTGATATTCATCATCGAAGGTCGCCGAACCAAAGTCGATGAGTCGGATTTCCCCATCGAGGAGAACGCGGCGCTGCCGCGCGTTGCGAGCTGTGGCGTGGGAAGAGGATGGTATAGTGCGGTTGTAAGTGAAAGTTTGATAAGCGTTGCTGACGAGGAGGATGTTTTCGGGTTTGAGGTCGGTGTGGATAAGGTTTAGGTCATGGAGGACTAATAGGTCAGTGGGCTGATATATAGATATAGAGGTGGTGGGGAACCTACAGGCAACACTGGTGAACAGTTGCCGAGCAAACTGTTGAATCTGACTGCTCGGGAATGGGACAAAGCCATTTCCCTTGAGGAAATCAAATACGCTTTGTCCCAGTAGATCAGTGACAATGCAGATGTGATTCCGGAAGTCAAAGCAGTCCCGAAGGTGGATGCATTTGTTGCGGTTGCTCTTGTCATTCGAAGCCAGAGTTGACAAGACTCGCAGCTCGATTCGAGATGCATCGCGATACTTTTGGATCGAGCGTATGATTTTGACTGCACAGCGAGCCTTGCGCTGCTTGTCATAGGCTTCGACAACTTTGCCGAACGTACCTTGGCCTAAAAGTTTGATCACAGAGTCTTGAGCGGAGTTAGCATAGTCAACAAGATACCAGAGATCTCTCTATACTCACATCGATCTGTCAATGGCGTGTCGGGTGTGACAATATAATGGCCATCGTCATCGTCAAATTTCTTGTTCTGAGAACTAGTGTACTGATCGAGCAAATTTTTGTCAGTGGATTTGCACGAAAGATCTGGCAAAGATAATAAAAAACACTCACATCGCGAACGACCGGCACAGGGACATCCTTTGCTTTGATCGGCGGCTTTGGAGGTGGGACATAACTCAGGAAAGCATCGCCTGCGGTCTCCAACTCTCGTCGCTTCTGCTCATCGCGAGTGGATTTTCGAGTGGCGCGTTTCCGCTTTTGACCAACAGAGCCATCCTCGTAGTATACACCATTGCTCGGCCCCGAACTGCCTTGTGAGCCAAGCGAAGTTGGAGCTGTGGTGTGTAAAGATGCGGTTCGATCGGTCGATAAGGAGGTGGCGGAGGATTCTTCGCCGTAATGCTGGGGATTGATTGAAAAGGACGGGCGGTCATAGTGACCCAGGTCATAGGCGGTTTCAATCCCCGTTCGCCGCCTCTTTCCAGCGGGCTGAGGAGCCGCAGGTGGTTTGTCCGAAGTAGTCACGGGAGGAGCTGGGGCACCATTGGACGGCTCTGGACCGGGACTGTCATCGATCACAATGACTTCCTTGGGAAGACCATTCTTGTAGAACTCGGTCCAGTCTGGTTTCTTTCTCCGACCCCCAACGGAGGGAGCCGCGCTAGAGCCACTCTGGTGGGTCATAGCCGACGGAGTTGTTGTCGCGGGGGGAATTCTCGGAGGTTGGGTGTAAGGAAGGGTCGTCGTTGTCGGGGAGGGGACGGGAATGGCGTAGGGGTTCGCGAGGCGAGGTCCTGCTGCAGCGGTGGAAGCCGGGTAGGAGGTATTCGGCTGATACGAAGGGTGGTGAGGATATCCGTAAGCCTGATGATGAGAAGGATGCGTTGCAGTCGCCGTGGACGGGGTGGACATTGTGCAAGGTTATCCTGCCCGTCACACGAACAGTAGGAAGGTGGAGGTAAAGATTGGTCTAATTTGTGACCGAGAGTTCGATACCGCGCGTCACTGCTCCTCGGGTGGATACAGTGATCTCAAGGCAGGACAAGCCAGCCAGAGAGGAACCAGGTCGACAGAGATTGAGGTTAAGTGTGTCTGGAAGGAGATCGGAGACGTGAAGATGACGGGCTGAGGCGGTGGGAGGGGAAAGAGAGTTTTTTCTCAAAGTTGCATTTCGACAAGTTCAGGAAGTTCAGGAAGTAAATCACAGAAGAACCTGGCGACATTGGTTAAACGGAGGGGAAAGGGCCTGGAGGCAAAGTGATGATGGAAGAGTCGGAGAGTTGGGATCCGTTGCCGATCAACTGGGATTTTGGGATTTTGGAGATTTTGTCCGATTTTATTCTGTATAATCATGATCGTTGCCTGAAATATGGTTAATTACTGTTTATATTGTACTTCTTTTAATTCTTTCCATCCTTATTCAACTTCCTAACTCTTTGAATATGTAGGTTAATACGTTCGTTATTCACCGATTCTCTATTCTATACATGTTAAACCCTCCAGAGGTCCATGCGCCTCTAGGGAGAAAACGCGGGATATTATCTCCTTCCAGTACACCCTGTGAATGCAATTAAGGAGGATCTAGAGTCCTAGAGTCCTAGCGGCGCCACAAGGCGCCTTAAGGGCCATCGGGAGAATCGTGTCCAAGCCCTGGCTTAGTCGAATCCAGTCCACAAGGGAGAACCTCAATCTCAATGATATCGAGAATCCCAAGATCGAAAAGTATATCAAATACCGTTACAACTCTAGGAAGTTGTAGGAAATGCTGATATCACGACTATGCCGCCCCATATTGATACTACCTCCCCGGGGGCCAGGCATTCCAACTGAGTCAGCATCCAGATTGGCCCGGAGGAAATACACCAAATCAGATATATATAGGTGTAATAGAAATTGAATGTTGATGAAGTTTTCAATGGGCTATTAGTGAATACAAGAGAAAGGTGGAACATGGGAGAGAAGGGGCTGTATAGAGACAATAGGAAAATAACATATATACTGAACAAAACTTCATACATATTGCTTGTCAGGTTACAGCCATTGGAATCCAATAAAACTTTCTTATCGAGTAATAGATATCTAAAAGTGAGGCAATTCAAAAGTAAACCCAAATAGATGCTAGATATACTAATCACGGACAATGTATACATATTCACTTGAACGGCAGGATAATAGAGAAGATTCGAATGTTTCGACTGTTGCCTTGGCTCTAAACAATTCGTATTGTTGACCTGATCTGGATATCTTTAGACCGTAGCCAAATCGAGCAACTTGATATATCTAACCTGGCCTAGCTTGTGATAGCAAGAACTGTAGAATCCTCAGGACAAGAGATCTACAACAGACTCCTGAAAGGATATGTATAACATGAGATAGACAGAGATACCCGTCTGATCCAGCAAATCCCCGGTTATTGCATTTTTACCTGTGGCCATAGGAAAACATGTACATATCCTAGACGAGAGGGTAATTTATTGAGGTAAAGAAAGTTCCTTCCTCTATCCTCTCAAAAATGTATGCTCAACGTGTAGTTGGATGAAATTAAAGATGGCTTCACAACCTGACAACACCTCCATAAGCCTGCCGACGCCACCATACACACACACAGAATACAAGAACTCCTGATGCCCGGAACCACAGGGCTCCCGTGGGCCAACAAAGAAATTAGGGAAGAAAATAAGATTACAAACATTTATGACCCAGTCAGTTTCGATCCCGATCCTCTTTGGGATCCTTCAGGTAACCCCTCTGCACATGCCTGGTCGCTCGTCCATCCGCCTCCAGCATGAACAAGATATCTCTCACCTGAATGCCTGCCCCTTTCTCTTGATCTTCACGCCAGATTCCGAGGAGACGCTGAGTCTGACTGGGTGTGGATTCGCCGACACTAGTCTTTTCAGGACCGGCGGTGGGGGTGGAAGGAGTCGGACGTGAGGGAGACGAGAATCCACCGGTCTTGCCGCCAGGCTTCAACCACGAGTATGATTTTTTGGCACCGAACATACTGCGGCTACCCCCGGACAAAGCCATGCGGGCCGTTTCCACAGACTGTGCATGCTGTTGGGCCTCGGTTGCTTTGGAATCCTGCATTTTCTTCGCTTCTTTTTTGGTGACTGACTTTTTATCGAGACTGGGCGCCCTTTCGCCGAGAGGTGTCGAGGGTGCAGAGCCCATTGGATCGATAGAGTCAGCTCGACCGGCCTCATCAAGAATGGCATTGCTGTTGCGTTTGGCACGCTTTGCTGCGCGCCTTTCCTCTTGCGAACTCTCTCGGTGGATGAATGCTCTGTATCTTGCCGCATTGGACTTTGCACTGGAGGATTCAATGGTAGCATGAGCACCTGTCAAGTTAATTAGTATCAAGTCCGTAGAGTGGGTATGAGCAAAATCGTACGTTTCACAGGGGTTTGAGTGCTTCCCGTAGCCTGCACAAGGGGTTTCGCGACATCTTTCCACTCATTGGGCACTACGCCATGAGAATGTGCTCGGCGACTTCGAGCAAGAGTCGAGGCGTAGTCGATGACGCCCCTAAATCTTTCTTCGGTGGAAATAGATAGAAGGTTCAGGATGTCCACGAGAGGAGCACCTTCCTGGTTGAGAATTGTCTGACCGGTGCGCACTACAGAAGAGCCATCCGGACCAGTAACTTCAATCGGCTGTGGTCGGCCAGGTACGGGGTGAAAGAGGCCTTCTGAGGGAATTCGCACACCAAGGTCAAAGCCTCGCTTCTGGAGCTTCTGCTCGAGAAGCTTTGTGATCAAGAATGGTTCTTGGATGTGATACTGTGCTCGCCTTGCTGCAATAGTGTCCTCGCGAGTCGGTTCATTGGGATCCTTGAAAGGAACATGTGCTTGGGAGGATTGGCCGGTGAACGAGTCGTGTGTGATCGCCGGTTTGATTTGAGGCAAATCACCGAAGCTGGCTGAAGCCGAGGGCGTTCCCGGGGCAGAGCCTTGAGACGTGAAGGAGGTGTTGATAGGTGGCGGGTATTGAGACTGTGGTCCTCGATGGGGAGGCTGCGCCTGCGCATTCTGCCCTGAAAAGCTCTGTGTGAGAAATGCTTCCTCTTCCCTCACATCGATTCCAGATGACGCTAGAACATCCGTCAGCTCAGCAGCATCCGTTGTTTTGTCCGCTGGGCGAGAAGGAGGACCCATGGTCCCGGGAGGAGCGGGGGCAGGTGTCGAAGAGATGTTCATATTCATGCTCATATTCATCGGCGTTCCGTTCATTGGGGATGGGTTTTGCGGTAGCTGCACTGCGTTGAAGCTCGGAGAACCGTAAGGAGACTGCGTTTGAGAAGGCGGCAGAGGAGAGAGGCGAGGTCGCTTAGATGGAGGAGGTGCAGCGCCTCCATTCACAGGAGATGCTACCGAATTTGGGGATGGGGACGAGACAGGTGGGGAGAAAGGTTGGGAGGCAAACTGCGGCGGCGGGGGTGCCTGCTGTTGTGGATGCCGAGCTTGTGCCATTGTGATGTGTGACTGCCCAGTGAGAGCAAAACTGGATTTCAGATGAGATAACGCCTATTGCGCCGAGCCGTCGTAGCCTTGCAGATGAATCGAGGTCCACGCGTGGCCGTTAAACTGAGCGGATTGCTCGCACCGCCAACTTCCACCACCTTTGACCATCTCAATATTGAATTCCAACCATATACGCGAGACGTGAATCGTGAAATAGTTGGCTCGAGCGCAAAAGGAATAGTAATCGGGGAGACACGGGAGATACGTGATGTGGTAAGGAGCTTTCTAGGTGGTCGAACTCTGCTCCGCGGATCGCGGATCGCGACACACGTGACTAAGCTTGACTAAGCTCTCCAAATCTGCGGGTGTTCAAGTGAGGTTTCGCCTGCTGCCAAAGAGATCACTCTTCTATTGAATCACAGTCTTCAAGGGTGCATTGACATCTGCTTTAAACACTGAGCAGCAGCATTTCTTATAGCCTTTGTTGCGCAAGTCATGGGTGTTGATCGAAGCTCATATTGATATCCTGAGCTTTACCGTGCGACGCGGGTACTAGTGCCCTTCAACTAGGCTTCTCAAACTCATACTAAGAAACCTGTCAATCTCCTGACATCTTACCCAATTAATTCTTGGCACCATGGCCTCCAAGCGCAAAGCCTCGTCAATGGGAACGGCCATTGACGATGAGCCCGTTGACCCATCAGACGAACTGGCATTCTACTGTCTCGGCGGCGGCAATGAAGTTGGACGGAGTTGTCACATCCTGGAATATAAAGGAAAGACAGTGATGGTAAGTCCTGGTGGAATGAGAAATGAAGTCGCAAATACTGACTTGGCTTCTGTAGCTTGACGCGGGCATGCATCCAGCAAAAGAAGGCTTCTCCGCACTTCCATTCTTCGACGAGTTCGATCTGAGCACAGTGGATGTTCTTTTAATCAGCCAGTACGTGCATCTTTTTTATTTACATAATATACGGAATGGCAAGCTCGAGGCATTCTACACTTACCCATATGAGGCTGGGTTATTTGGCGGTCTATTGCCTCTGCTGCCTCAATGGAACACATTCCCCTGCATATATATGAGAAAGCTCAATACAATTCAATGTCATGCATATATTTCTTGTATCACTGTACCCTCTTGAGTTTCGAATTCGAGTTCTCCTTCAGCGCGTTTATTGTTATCGCAGTTGACTAACAGTCTGATTTGTATAGTTTCCATGTTGACCATTCATCCGCCCTCCCATATGTTCTCAGCAAGACAAACTTCAAAGGAAGAGTCTTCATGACTCCGGCAACCCGAGCAATCTACAAATGGCTCATTCAAGACAACGTTCGGGTCAGCAACACATCCTCTTCCTCCGATCAACGCACCACGTTATACACCGAGCGTGATCACTTGTCAACACTTCCCATGATTGAAACCATTGACTTTTACACAACACATACGATCAATGGCATTCGTATTACCCCGTATCCTGCCGGACATGTTCTCGGTGCTGCCATGTTCAAAGTTGATATTGCGGGGTTGGTGACTTTGTTTACAGGAGGTAAGTTTGCCTTGTTATTTGTCATCTACAGAATTGTCAATCAAATTGCTAACGTAACCGGCTAGACTACTCTCGCGAGGAAGACAGACACTTGATTCCCGCCGCGGTGCCCAAGGGCACGAAGATCGATGTTCTCATCACAGAATCTACATTCGGCATTTCCTCCAATCCGCCTCGATTGGAACGTGAGGCCGCCTTGATGAAGTCAATAACGAGCGTTCTCAACCGTGGAGGTCGAGTTCTGATGCCCGTGTTTGCTCTCGGACGTGCCCAAGAGCTGCTTCTTATCCTTGATGAATATTGGGAAACCCACCCAGAACTCCAAAAATTCCCCATCTACTACATTGGAAACATGGCACGACGATGCATGGTTGTATACCAAACATATATTGGTGCCATGAACGATAATATAAAGCGACTCTTCCGACAGCGTATGGCCGAGGCCGAGGCCAGCGGTAATAAGAGCGTGAGTGTCGGACCTTGGGATTTCCGATTCGTTCGAAGTCTCCGCAGCTTAGAGCGTTTCGACGATGTTGGAGGATGTGTGATGCTTGCCTCTCCCGGCATGTTGCAGACGGGAACAAGTCGCGAGCTGCTGGAAAGATGGGCACCAAGTGATCGCAACGGCGTTGTCATGACCGGCTACAGCGTTGAGGGAACCATGGCTAAGGGGTTACTTAATGAACCTGATCAGATCCCGGCTGTCATGTCTAAGGTTTCCGCTGGGCACGGTCGTGGTCGTGTTCCCGGAGTGAATGACGAGGATCAGAAAGTTATGATCCCTCGTCGTTGCACTGTTGACGAGGTCAGCTTTGCAGCCCACGTCGATGGCGTGGAAAATCGTACTTTCATTGAGGAAGTCGGAGCACCAGTTGTGGTAAGTGTGACATCCACCAGTTTATTTGAAATTCTACTGACATCCCCAAGATCCTCGTTCACGGCGAAAAACATCAGATGATGAGGCTGAAGTCGAAACTGCTCAGCCTTAACGCAGATAAAGCCGTCAAAGTCAAAGTTTATACCCCAGCAAACTGCGACGAAGTTCGCATCCCTTTCAAGAAGGACAAGATTGCCAAGGTCGTCGGCAAGCTCGCAGAGCTTGCGCCTCCATCGGAGAATGATGATGCCCAGCTCATGGCTGGAGTCTTAGTACAAAATGGGTTTAACCTGTCATTGATGGCCCCTGATGACCTACAGGAGTACGCGGGCTTGACAACCACGACTATTACTTGCAAACAGCATATCACTCTTAGCTCCGCGAGCATGGACTTGATCCGATGGGCTCTCGAGGGAACTTTCGGAGCCATCGAAGAAATTGGGAATAGCAAGAAGACTGAGACCAACGGCAAGAAAGACATGCATACTGACGACATCCTAAAGCAAGAGGATGCCGACGAGGAAATTCCATCAGACGAGACACAGACATTCCTTGTCATGGGGTGTGTGTATCTCCGCCATCACTCACGCAGCCGTGAAGTTGAATTGGAATGGGAAGGTAATATGATGAACGACGGAGTGGCAGATGCAGTTATGGCTGTTCTGCTCACAGTCGAAAGCAGCCCTGCCTCCGTAAAGCGTATGAATTTCTACCCCTACTCCCCTCTTTGCTTATGCTAACTTCTACGGTTCTAGAATCGGCCAAAAACAAGCACCACCACCATCATCATGACGATGACGACATGGAAATCCCCTCACTTCCTCACAACCCTCATGCTCAGTCTGGACCACAAGAGCGGCTTGCTCGTATGCTGATGATGCTCGAGGCCCAATTCGGCGGCGACAACATTGGCCCCATTGAACGCCCACGAGTCCCGGGTGATCTCGCACTCGGCCCACAAGATGATGGCGAAGAGGTGAACGAAGAGCGAATTGCCGACATTGAGGCTGCAGAGCTGGATCGTCTTATCACAATGGGTATCCCCGTCCCAGGTATTGAGATCAGGGTGGACAAGCATATTGCCCGCGTGTGGCTCGAGGACCTAGAAGTCGAGTGTACGAACCCTGTCCTGCGAGACCGCATTCGTGTAGTCGTTGAACGGGCCATTGAGACTGTCGCTGGCCTGTGGGCAGAGAGCTCAATTCATCAGGACGTGACGTTTAGTGGCTCTGCCAACGGGCCAAAGGGGATTGAACTGGCCGATAGGAAGAAAGCAGCTGCTATTGAGGCCCGATCTTGATCTCTCACGTATCTGTATAATAATCAAATATCCCAGCATTCACATGATTTGACGTTTCTAAATCTCCTTTGCCATCTAACCCGGGGTGTTCTATTTGACAAAATGATATTGTTTAAATAATTGCACATTCCAAGCTACAGAAGCGGACTCTTAAAGTAGAGATAGAGTGCGCTCTATAGGGAGGCAAAAACCTCCTCCATAACTTTCTCTAGCGTGTCAACGATGATACCAATCTCCTCTTTCGACACGATATAAGGTGGCGCGAGGATAAGATGATCTCCTTTAATTCCATCCACGGTCCCAGAACAGCCATACAGCGAGACACTGTGCTCCGGCTGGAGACCCTTCTCCTGAATCCGGTAAGACAGACGATCCTTGGGGTCAAATGGCTCTTTCGTGGCTTTATCTTTAACAAATTCAAGCTGGAAAGAGTTAGCAACACATTTTTTTATTGGTTGTGTAATACCAACTAGAGGAAAGATGCAACTTACACCCCAGAACAATCCTTTTCCGCGAATATCTCCCACGTGAGGATGGCTCTCAAATCGCTGCTTCAACTGTTTCTCAAGGTAAGCACCCATGGTCCGGACATTGTCCAGTAGAGACTGTTCCTGGATAGTCTTTTGCACAGCCAACGCAGCAGCACATGAAATTGGATGGCCTTGGTATGTCTGTCCGTGGCGGAATTGCCCAGTGCCTTTGTCCATAGTCTGCACAATAGAGTCACTGATCAAGATGGCCGATACTGACGCGTAGCCACCACCCAGACCCTTTGCAATAGCCTGGATATCGGGGACAATACCCTCTTGTTCCCAGACATGCATGGTCCCGCAACGACCCATACCGCTCATAATCTCGTCAAGGATCAAGAGGGCACCGTGTTTCTCGCAAACGGCTTTCATCGCACGGAAGTACCCTGGTACTGCGGGGACACAACCGAGAGCCTAATGAGTATAAGTTGGATAATCTGGCAGTGTAGAGTTCAAGATAGGAAGTCATACCGCGCCGACGACTGGCTCTGCAATGAATGCGCACACAGTTTCGGGTCCGACACGTTGGAATTCTGCGTCTAGCTCGGCTGCCAGACGTTCCACATAGTCTGCATCAGACTCACTGTCTCGCTTTCCACGATATGCATAGCATGGGGAAACATGGGAAACGTTCTTGGAGAGAAGTGGTTCAAATGGCTGCCGACGCTGAACGTGGCCACCGACCGAAAGGGCCCCAAGCGTGGTGCCGTGGTAGGATGGAAGGCGCGCAATGAACCTGATACGCTCAGTTTGGGGGGTTGGAAGCTCCAAGAAATATTGGCGTGCTAGCTTAAGTGCAGCCTCGACGGCCTCAGACCCTGGATATCGTCAGCACTGTATGTGTGAACTGAATTTTTGGTTCTTGGAGGGGCTGCCCTAACCCACCCGAGCTGGTTATAAAGACCTTGGAGAGTTTTCCTCCAGTAGAGTCCACTAGGAGTTGGGCAAGATCCTCAGCTACCTGGGTGCCAAAGAAAGCAGAATGGCAGTAGGATATCTGGTCCATCTGATCCTTGATCATCTGGGTGACCTGCTCGTTACCGTGTCCTAGACAAGATACAGCTGCACCACCTGTGGCATCGAGGAACTTGGTCCCATCTTCCAGAAACACATAGCACCCTTTGCCGCCAATGGCTTTCTTTGGGACAAAGCGTGTGTCCCGGTGAAGAATGGCACTAGACTTGGTTTCTGGGAAGTATATCAGAATGAAGAATATGCCAGGATATTGCAATCAACGTACCAGTCATAGTGAATTGGAGAAATGTGAGAGTAAGAATGGATTGAGAAGATGAAACGGGTGATATATGTAGTCTATCTCCCGAGGTTTCACCCGAGGCAATGGGATGTTATGCGGGGCTAAGTGGGTTCGGCATGCCGAAGTGAAGAGGCCGAGCCCTCTATTGGTCTGGGGGGCGGACTTTTGGGGTCCGAATTGATTCCCTATCTAAGGTATCTGCCGAGTCTATCTGCCCAGTTCTCTTTAAGAGAGCTTTAGATTACCCTATAGCAATGACACATGGGAGCATAGGAGAAGATGCATGATAGAGCTGAATCTTAGTCTACAGTCATTTTCCTGTGCCGCTTTTTAGGGTTCGAAGTATTTCCCGAGGTCATATAGGGTGATTACTCAGCCTTGGAGTGCCACCACTCGCACTTAGTAAACAACCAGTAGTTCCAAGGCTAACGAATGCCAGGCTATAAAATCTATCTGTTCATAAAACAAAGCTTTATATGCATGGGAGCTTTTGATTCTAGGTCTTCACCCGAACTTGAGCATCTGATAGCACCCATGCAAGCTAATCTACCTTTGAATTGATAATCTGCAATGAATGGAATTCTGGCGCGAGTATAATAGCTATACTGACAATGATCGATCTGCTTGGAAGTCTGATATATTCATTGACAACACGCTAGAGACTTCATTTACGTTCTTGTCGCGGATGTTGAAGATTGAATGAACTCGTTATATGCAAAAACCATCCGCTGCCTGTCTCTGCTTCTGGTTTATCTCTTCTATAAGTAGCTCGTTTCCTTCTTACCTGGTGATATTGTCTGTATATATATATATACTTACCAAAAACTACGAAACACAAGACATCGATGAGTGAATCCAACCTTGGAAGGTAATGTCAGTTGAATAGTTGCATGTAAGTAGATTCACAGACATGTACGTACACATAATATGTAGGTAGTGACATTTCCTTGACCGTGACGTTCCAAACTTTCTGAGAGCTTCTAACCCAGAGCCGTTATCTACACTGTCACCCATTCCTCTAATACCGTCTCTCCTTCATTCTCCTCCAGACAACTCACTTGATTTCATTTGGTCAACATGACTGTACCGCAAGCTCAGCTGCATGTCTTTCCCCGGTCCTTCTTTCAACAAGGACTTCCCTTCTCTTGAGACTCTTCAAGCACTTGGAATGCATGGATTTCAAGTGTCCTTGGATCCGCAAAAAATGAAGCTCTGCAATTCAAGCCGTGCTTCTAATCTCATCCGGACAAACTTCTTCGAATGTATCCTAAACACCCTATGGTGGAGGAAGAGGACCAGGACTGTCTGAAGCTGTGTATTCCCAGCGTACAGGATATCATGGAAACGGCCTGGAAGAAGTATTCTTCTGAAGTCGCACCAATACTTCAGAACCTCAGATGGCAGGGCCATTCAAGGTTGAATCAAACATATGATGCTTATAGTCAAGCCGAAGGCGTAGAGGGTGCTATTGATGCTCACCTGCGTATGACGACGCAAGACCCATCTGAGTTATTCGCACTCGAAGACCTTAGAAACCAAAGCTACTGGAAGTAAGCAGACTACAAGGAATTCTTTATTTCGATACATGCGTAACATCTCGTAGCCCGGAATACAAAGAAGGCAACTCTGATTACATACGAGATGCTCCTCTCTCAAAAGTGTGGGAGCTGGTCAGTCATTACCAATACACGGATTACCCTTGCAAGCCACAGTCGGTCATGTCATGTCTAACTCATGTTCGTCCCACGACACATGAGCTGCACGCTATCATATGTGCGATGCTTCTTCGAGCAAGTCATAAGTCATTCAATACATGCATATATTCTGATTCTCTCTTTCATGGGTGAGAAGCTGGCGAGAATTATTCAAGCTATGGATGATGGAAAGGCGCTGGTCTTACAACACTCGCAATTGTGGAACTTTGCGGACACAGAAGCAGCACCAGTGAATTATTCGTCCGGTATAGGTTAAGTCAGCCAGTTGGTGGGGATACCCATTGTCAATTAGATAACCTCTCTTGCTTTTCTGTTTGATTATATCGAAACTCGTTGGCTGCTGAATTTGATGTTGTATACTTAATATTGACGTGCAGTTAAACATCCCCACGTCCCACCGCCCGCACACTTCATTCTGCCCCTCTGACTTGGCCACAATTCGGCCTTCCCCAGACATCTCTCCATTCAACTTCAACCATAATGTCACGTCACGCCCAAATCGAGGAAGTCTCCGACTCCGACCCAGAAGAGGTCGCCCCCTCTTACGACTCTGACGAGGACCTCCCCAGCAATGCCATCATAGCACCCGTGAATGTCCCGACCAAGGCTGCTGCACCTCAACCCCAACAACGACAGATGCCCATGCCATCAATGCCATCCATGCCAGCGCCTGAGCCCCAGCGCGAGATCCCCCAACACTTCTCATGCTTGTACCCCGTGTACTTTGATAAGACCCGATCGCGCGCCGAGGGCCGCAAAGTCGGTGCGGAGCTCGCAGTGGAAAACCCTCTTGCGCGAGATATCGTCGATGCCGTCCAGATGCTTGGCTTGAATGCCGGCTTGGAGCCTGAGAAGCTGCATCCTAAAGATTGGGCAAATCCTGGTCGTGTCCGTGTGCAGGTTAAGAATGAGGATGGTCAATTAGCCAACCCGAAGATTAAGAACAGTACGTGGTTGATAATTATGGAATGGAGGGGGTTTTTTTTATCTTTGGACTTGAACTGACCTTTCTGCTTAGAGCACCACCTCTATATTCTTGTCGCACAGTACTTGAAGGCTAACCCTACCACCGAAAAATCACCCTACAGGCTACGAATCCGTGGCCTGCCCATGCCCGAGAAGCTACCACCCGCTCCTGCTGCCCCACGCGGTTGGAAGATCGGAAAGATCCTACCTATCCATTCACCTGCCTACAGTGGTGGTGGTGTCAGTGACAACCCCCTCAAGGATGCAATGGCCGAGATGCAGGGTATGCAGGGCATGGAGGGAATGCCGAACATGTCTGAAATGATGAGCCAAATGGGTGGAATGGGCGGACTGAGTAATATGTTGGGAGGACTAGGTGGACTAGGTGGAATGGGTGGAATGGGCGGAATGGGTGGCGAGCCCTCAGGGGCAGGTCCGGAAAAGAAAAAGAAGGAAAAGAGAAAGGTGATCAGGGCATGATTTAGCATGTCCTTTCTTCTGTGTTCCACTTGCATTGTATGGCGATGGGCGTTGCTTTTTCCTCCCTGATTTTTGATGCACTCGAGAAAGGAATACTTCCTTGATACCACGGACCTCCATCGGAATTGATCTTATTGTACATCCACCTCCAATCGTGTTTCTACCTGGTAGTTCTATGACCATACTTATGCAAACGTCCTGGGATCAATTAGGGTTGCCCTAGTCTGGACTAAATATGTAGGCTGTAGCACGCAATTCCCGTTGATCGCCATCTAGCTTTGGAGAGTCCCCGAATTACCTGTGTCTCATATCCTATTTATCTCCGGTTGTCGAAGCCAGTATGACAAGGGTCAGAATTTTAGCCACCTTCTTAGTGAGGCTTATAAAAAAAACCCCAATTTGGGCCTCTCGACTTCGGAGGCCCCTATCCGAAATCCGGGGTGGTAATCAAGGGAAAGTGGCCCATGCTTTGTGAACTTACATGCATTATACTTATGCAATATATGCGGATCAGTAATTACTAGATTATAGGGATTATCACGATCTGGTGGCCAGGTGAGGGAATTTAAATTGCTTGATTTCAAAGTGACCAGGTCACTAGGTCATACTTGAAGTTGTTACCATTGGCTATGTCTAGATTCCCCTGGTATGTTGTGATGGCCATAGGACCAATGAGAACTAGGAAGGATTATAATCATATATTTATTTTAGACCTAGTGACCTGGTCATCTCGCTCACTACTAGTGTACTTGCTTTGGTGGTGTTGATTTCATCTCGCAAGTTTGCAGCGGATTCATTGGACAGGGAACAAACAGATATATCACATGCCCATAGAAGGGGTGAAATTGTACTAAAACGGCTAAAAATGGACGTGTTCATCGGTGTCATTATCATGCCGTACCTCTGTGTCTTTCGGGTGTCCTCCATTTCTATACTGCCAGAGTCGACTGAAGTCCTTGACGCGCAGTACTCGACCCACATCATTCGTTTGTGACCGCTGCAGGCTCAGTGTGGCGGGGAGAAATGCCTCGTCTCGGGCTATCGTGGGTTGATACCTGATTCGATGCGGGGGGCCATCATATCCGTTTATACCGGCGGTTGCCCATGGCTCGACTTCCATATCCATGAATGGATTGGAATCTAGGGTTTTCATATCAGGGCCTAGAGTAAACATGTTGTCCAAGTAATGCATATTGAGTAGGTGGCCTGAATTTGGGCGCACGAACAGCCGGCCCATGTATCGATTCGGGATGTCCACAAAGTGGAGCACACCTCCCAGAGCCACAATATCAGCTGCGTTGGCGTAATGCTCGATATGGCCGATGGATTGGTCAAATTGGTGCATTAGATCAGGTGTTGACATTCTCTGTGGTTTTCCTGGTTTTGTCCATCGTGGATTGTTGAAGTGATTTGCGGCATTTCCAAACGTATACACCTCCAAGTGATGTAGGAGATCGTGTGGTAGCTCATCCAGAAGCCAGTCCACGACAAGCCCCCCTTCAATACCACCTTGACTGTGAAGAAGTAGAACCACCCTGTCACATTCTGGGTCCAATAGAGCTTCCTTGACCAAGGCATACGATCGTCGTATATCGTCAGTCGCGTATGCAAAATCCCGCTGAATCAGACATTCGATGAGATCAAAGACGATACCCGCGCTATTCTCATTAGTGTTTGTAAAACTGGAATCCAAGGAGTCACTTACGTGCGATTGTGCACACCTGTCACTTTCCGACCAAAGATGTATGACAGTTGATCGATATTCATCTGTACCCAGTGATGCCTGCAGGTAGTTGGGTCAGCAACTGAAAACAGCCCTGGAGGGAGTCATGGGGATGTCTCTCCTACCCAGCTGCAATTCCATTTATATATAGCCAACGCTCCCGCTCATGACCTGGTCGCTCGATCACGGGAACCTGGGACACCAGGACCCTCTGGAAGCCGTTCAACAACAACATCACAATCGCATAATTGATAGTGAAACCAATAGCAGAATAAACAAGGATCCATAGACCTGGGATCATGCAGATGACCATGATCGGCAACGAGAGCAGGAAAACAAGTTGATAAACCACGAGGAATATATGGATCAACACGGTAGCTCCATTGCGTAACGAGGGATAGAACTCGTCCCATTCATGAGTACGAGCTAGATTCAGGGGCAGGAAGATACCTGGAAGTGCCCATAGCTTTGAAACAAACAGGACCAAGTCGCTCCAGAGTAACTTTATCGGTGAGGCAGTGTAGGGCAACGGAGTACCCTCCTTACCGGGACAAGTCATTGTAGAACATATAGAGAAGTGTAAAGTTGTAAAATTTGAGATGAAGGGATAAGAAAAGAAATTGTCATGTGATACCTTTTTGGCGCCAGCCTATACCTCGGGAGATCTCCCGGGCGATCCAAGTATGTTATGACTGCACCTGTTTATGCCTTAGTATCTGAGATAATCAGAGTGATATTATTGACATTCTTACATTTGTGAAATGAGATTTATGTCTCTGGCAAAGCAAACATGAGTCTGAAATGACCATGAATACTTTGCTACACAAAGCACAATTTAGATATGGATAGATCAAGACATTGGTGGAATGAGAAAGGAGAACTTTAATGAACAAGACGATTTTTTCGATTGCTACCACGGAAAAGATATCTTCGGTTGATCTTCACACCTGCGTGGCGCATTTCACTTTGATGCCATCGTGCAATGACCTTGGCGGCGGCGGCAATCGAAACATCGCTAGGCTGCCAGTATCCTGGAACACGGAGGGATAGACACCATCTGACATCGTGATGGACGGGTTCGGATGAAATGATGCCATCCCTAGCGTTGATGCGAACCACTACAAGATCCATCAACTCTTCGTCGTTGTACTTGTGGTCAGCCCAGTTGAAGAACACAGTCACCCATTGGTTGGCCCCAGCTCGAGGATATTCTTCTCGAATGTTTCGTCCGTTTGGATAATTGAACATTCCTCGATTCCTGACGTGCTTCTTTCCTTTCTTTGTGACTCGAGCGTCAATAGCCGAGACTTTGTTTCCCATCGTAGAAATGTATGAGGTAGAGAGATAGAGATATTGATAAGACAGAAAAAAACAAGACAGAAAAAAACAAGACAGAAAAAAGAAATGAGACGAAAGGATGAGAGGATGAGACAAGACAAGTCTAATATTCTAATATATTGAACGAGACGAAAAGAACAAAGAGCATTGAGAAGTTCTTCAATAGTACAGTTCATTGTGATTAAGTCGTAGACCTATCAATAGGATCATTTTCTTTGATGGTCATAGAAGTAAATACCAATAGGACGTTACAAGAAGATATTTGTTCTCTTTGAGGACTGTAAAGACATTGTTTGGAGTTATGTCATGAAACCACGTCGAGAACAGTCCACTTCATCGGAAGTATATAAACATCCTTGCGAAGACGGAATATCAAGACTAACTTCAAACCATTCTCTCAGCTCAGTGAGGCGCCGTGTACCCAAGTTGTGATACGAACAAAGACAATCTAGTGATTATATCCTATTCCAAGCAAGGATAACCCCGAACTAACCTCCAAACCCCATATTGTTTTCGCTTAGGAAAAGCACCTATCCTCCGAAGTTGATTAGAGGGCTACCACATTCCATCCTTCTTAACACGATAATCAAAAACAATGGGAAAAGATGGAGGGTGGTTCGAAAATAGACGAGACACCATCGGTAGCCGTAGATCCATTTTCTCAGGACAAAGAGACACCCGGTTTGTCACTGACCTGAGAAGGGACGAACTGAAGAAGCTAACACAGATCCTGCACATAGACAACACAAGGACAAGACACACTGATGAGATTGTTAAGCGTATGATCCGCGAGTTGCCCAAGAATATGCGCCGTGATCGCTGGTCAAGAACGAACAAGGATTTGTGCGATGCCCATCAGGGCTTGAATGCAGATCTCATGGCCGATTTGTTCAATCTTGTCCAGAGGGAGGTTGGTCACCACCTTCGCAAGTTTGACGCGTGCCCGGACTTGCTGAAGCCTCTCGATATATTGATCATACAGAAACTACAGGCTATACGGGGCATGTGGGAGAAACCCGACTCCAAAGATCAGGCTGTCTTAGAAGCATGGAATTATGAGATCAGTTGTTGTCAGGGGTGTATGGTAGCTCGGGTTGCGAGTGGCAAGAATGCATTGCGCAATCTTCGAATTGTCCTGCTCGCTCGCACGCAGACCCGTTTGAACCATGCCCCACGAAGACTGATGAAATTCGTCGACACCTGCATTGACCTATTCCCTGATGAAGTGGATGAGCTATATGGCATATCTAGTCAGTTTGCATTCATCCTGAAGGATACCCGCAAAGCCTGCAGCAAGGCCTGGTCTAAAGATCCGGCACATGCGGATTCCAAGCCCTCACGGCGAAGGCACACCCATCATGGAAAGACCGACAAAAGTGATAAGAATGGAAAAAGCGCACGTAGCCATAGACCGGCTCGTGAGTATGACCCAAGGAAGAAGTATACCCAGCCACCACCACCAATCACATCGGTCCACCCCGCAGAAAGGTATGTCCCCAAATCTTCTTCGTCGTCGTCCCGATGTACTGACATTGACACGGAAGGCCACGGGATGTATCGTTTGACGTCAAGCCCTTCCAGGAAAGCCGCGAAAACATCATATCACATGAAGCGAGATCGACGCTCGGACCCGAACTCGAATCGCATCACTAGATTCATGGATCTCGCCAATGACAACTATCAAGGCTTAGGAATCAGCATGGAAAGGTGGAGTGGGAGCACTGTCTGTGGACCTCCTGTAAGCCCCTCGTCATCTAGCACTGCAAGTACTTTCGCGGGAACTTTGGAGGAAATCGACGAATTGCTTGAGATGTACAAGGGTTTGGGAACAAATCCCTCACTAAGCAGCCTATGTCCGGTACATGGGAGTCGTTCCCCATCAATATGTTCCACTGACATTGAGTGGAGTGATGAAGACCGGAGAAAGCCGGAGAGTGGTTGGCTCAACAGCAAGGACTACTTGGAATCCGGGTGAAGAGTCGAATATGATTTGATCTTTTGTCCTCGAATCTGGGTGCTTTGTTTCTTTGTGTTCGTTTGTTTTGTTTTGATCTTGTATGTCAATATCTGGCTAGAGTCGGGGTGTTTTTGAGAATAATTTCATGATATTTGCAAATGTATTTAACAAATACCCAGGGGAAAATGTAAATGGCAAATAATAGACATTATTGACAGTAGGTCGTAGAGCGAACCATGTACAAAAACATTGACTGGCCCATTCTGAAGTATTAATACATTGGGCCATTGATCCCATATACAAAAAGAAAGACGGAAAGCCCCACGGTCTGGCGGAGACGGCCAGCAGCTCCAGGGACGGGGTTGGGGGATGCATAAAAAAAAAGTCAACACATGCTCAGGTTTCATTTCATCACTGCTTTAGTTGTGGAGAACACTTCCAGGAACCCCATGACTCGGGCCCTTGAGACTATCAACAGTCTTTCGGCGCAGTCGAGTGCGGGTCGCAGGTCCCTCGGGTGACACCACTACCCGTTCATGTTCACGTTCCTCGGTCACAGTGACAGCCGGCGTTGTGTCAGGTGCCTGGGTAGTATCCTGATCCATCTGCTTCTGGGCATTCTCTCGAGCTCGCTCGTAGCGCAACTTGACCTCACCAGTCCACTGAGTGCCAAGAAGGCGGTCCCAGAAGATGAAGAAAGGCTGGGAGAAGTTGGTCTTGATACCCCAGCTTTGGTGATGAATGTCGTGGTAAGCGGCATTATTGGAAGTGAAATGCTGCAGAGGATCCCAGGGGAAGGCATAGCCACAGTGATCGTCGACGGTTTTGATAGTCGACATTGTAAAGAACCACATGGCCTGGCGGGTGGTCATGCCGGAGATCAAGAATCCAACACCAGTGCCAGCCGTGTCCAGGAGGAATCCCTCAACTGGGTGGTTGTAGAGGGCGCCGAAAGCATAAGGAACGTAAAGGCGGTGGTGGCGGGAGTGGAAAGTCACTGATAGCTGGTTAGTATGGAATTATCAATTCCAAAACTTCAAGACATACCATAGAGCCACCGGTTCAGATGCATAGCGCGGTGGAGGAAGTACTGCCAAGTATCCACAATGGAAATTGCCAGCATGAACTGAAGGGTTGGCACAAAGTACCAATAGATGAAGCCGGCAACTGCAAGTTCCCAGTTCGTGAATGCGGGCGCCACAGTCTCGACTCCGTTGTCGAGGATCATCGACTGGGTCACATCGGGGTATGATCCACCGGCCAGAGCCCCTGCCAACATGGTGTAGCCGCTTTGGGAGACAGATTTTCCAAGACTAATAGCGTCAACTCCAACAAGAGCTAATAATGACGGGATAGCCTTTTGGGCGATCCGCAATCGCTGCGCCCACACGGCCACATCATATTCCTCCCTGCCAACAGTTTCCTCGGCATCGAAGTATACGAAAGCAAAACCGGCCACAGTTTGAATCACCTGTTGTAAGACAACATCTCGCACCACTTCCCAGCGGGTCACTTTGTTTCGTTTCAGGACCTCTGCGGGGGTGTGGAGCCGATATTCGACGAAATAATCATTGACATCGAGGTAATGATAGACCATGGACAAGCCCCAGTAAGCGACGACAGGCAATATAAGCGAAAGGATATTGTCAGGAAGAGGAGCAAGTAAATGCTCTCGCGGGGTCAAGGTGTAGGATGGTAGGGGAGGAAGGTCGAACGCGACGGATGCGTTCACGGCCATGATGGAAGATTGGCGTGAGTTTTTATTTTTTTTTCCCCCAAAGAAAGGAAGATGGAAGGGATTTCGGAATTAATATGGATATTAAAATGGTCCGAGGTCAGACGTCAGGTAAAGAAAAGAGTGTCAACTGCCCACGCCCAATTCCGGATGCTGACGGGTAGGCGCGACGCAGAAATTCCGATCAGCCAAGAGACCTCTCTCGGCGCTGGCCGGTACAAACAAAAAGTAATAAAAAAAAAACAAAGGAGAATCAGGTAATGATGAAGGAAAGAATAGGGATGCCTCCAAGCATAAAAGATTAAACGTTCAGATCAGATCAGGAGACGGAGGTGGCGCGAGCCGGAGCCAAGAAAAACCAAGCTAGTACTGACGTGAACGGTAACTTTGAATATAATGAAGGGAAAGTGACCAAATACAGTATGGTATGGTATTCCATAGACTGCTGCTGACTCAGTGATATACTTCGACTTTGGGCAGTCCTGGATGGAAGGAAATCGGGTATAGCAATGAAAATGAACATGAAATCTTAATTGGTCAGTTCAGTCAAATTGTCGCTTTGCAATTGATCATAAACCAGTGTTCCTAATACTAATATATATGCCGAATTTACTTTAGAAATGATGATCTCATTTGAAGTACCTTGAAGTACCAAATACTGCGCTAACGTAGAGCCAGTGGCGGTGGCCCAGACTCCCTGATACCCGTTGGGTACAAACTGAACAAACACCCCCCCGCTCTATTTTTTTTTTTTTTTTAAAGAAAAACCTCGCCCCCCCACCTTGAAACTGTTTTTCTTCCTTCCTTACTTCCTTACTTCCTTACACTCTTCACCTTCTAACATATAATTCCGCCAAAATGATTATCTACACTGTATGTTGTCTCAGATCCTTGATTTGCATTTGAATCCAAACTAATAGAACCCAGGACATCGTTTCCGGTGACGAGATCGTCGCCGATACCTTTGACCTCAAGCCCAACAAGGACTTCGATGTTCTTTGGGAGTGCGACTGCCGCAAGTACCTCAAGCGTGCCAACGAGGACTTCCAGCTCGAGGGTGCCAACCCCTCCGCTGAGGACGCCGAGGAGGAGGGTGGCGAGGGCGAGGCCACTATGGTCCACGATATTGAGGATCAGTTCCGTCTGGTCTGGCTCAAGACTGAGGATGGCGCCAAGCCCTCTAAGGAAGATTACAAGAGCCACTTGAAGCGTATGTTTACCTTTTGTTCCTCAATTCTTGGTCGCAAATCACTGACTTTTGTTCTTTAATACAGCTTACCTCAAGAAGCTCCACCAGAATGCGCAGTCCAAGTTCGCTGAGAGTGCTGACCCCGCCGCGGCCGAGAAAGAGTGGAAGGTCAAGTGCGCCGGCGCTATGAAGAAGATCCTGGGCAACTGGGACAACTACGATGTGATGATGGGCCAGTCCACCGATGGCGCAGCCATGTAAGCTCACATATCTTGCTATATTCTTTGAATACTCGACTAACTGCTCTTAGGTACGTCCTGATTGACTTCCGCGACGATGGTGTCACCCCTTACGCTACCGTCTGGGCCGACGGTCTCAAGGCCATCAAGGTTTAAACAACTCTTATCCCGGAGCAAGCGATAGTAAAAACACACGCACCCTATACGAACAAATACCTCTTGGTGGAAGAATTGCGAGTTACAGCTCAGACGCAGCGGCTACTTATTCCCCTTCCCTGGGCCTGTCTGTTTTAATAACCCTCGCATTTTTTTTTGTATCCCGAGTTAGTGATCCATTGGATCGACAAGAGTTACGCTTCATGAAATCATTTGTCATGTTTTATGTTTTTGGCTTGTGCCATGTAGTCTGGCTTCACTGTCATTGATCCAGTTTCCATACTTGACCAGTAACACTCCTGACTTGTGGAAAGGATATCCTTACCCAACGAACATTTTCATGTCACAGAATGAATAAAGCAACAACATCAAGTCGGTGTATATATTTGCGGATTTGATAGATATATCGCCCATAATCATATCTCTACGCTAAGTAAATTAAGAATATCCCGGCCAATCAGCATCATTGTTCCCATTCCATGATGGGAAATTCCCTTCTGGGGAGGAGCCTGGAAGTGGAAGGCCATTGGCATATGAAGTAGGCATGTCGACGGGACTAGCGCCATTGAATGCTGAGGCAGTTCCAACATGGGTGAAATCAAGACCAGAAACAGGATCTAGTTCCATCAGGTCATCTGCGACAGGTAGATGTTGCCCGAACACAGCATCCCACTGGTCCCAGTCGAAGTTGAGGTTGGGGTCAACCATCGATGGCGGTGTAGGAACTGCCACGGGTAAAACATTAGGAGACCCAGTATTCACGAAGGACATGCTAGCAGCAGCAATATCAGGATCTGAATGCTGAACATGTGGGGCGGGAGGGGTGGATGCGGGAGATTGTGTCAGTGGAGGTACACCAAACAAGGAGTCCGTATTGGGCAAGGAGGCCCCAATGCGGGGAGGTATGGGATTATCTGTGGGGTTAGAATGGAATTGCGAATGTGAGACTGGGGGCAAGGATCCATCCTGGGCTTGATGTTGGTATCGTAGGGGAATTTTAGTAGCACCCGGGGTAACAGGATTTGAGAACGTGTGGGAGCGGGGGATGTTGTGGAAAGGTTTGTTGAAATCTCTGGGTTTGGGGTTGTGCGCTGAGGGATGGCCGGTGGATGCTGACACTGGAGACTCAGTGTGAGAAGGAGCTGAGCAAGGAGAGTCACAATCCCCACGGGAGTCAACTGGCGAAGCGACCCCAGCCTGGATCTGATCTTGCTCGGTCCAGAGCATTTGGGGATCGAGGCCGGCCTTTTGCCAAGCCTTTTGGCGAAGGCGGCGGATCATATCCCAGGCTTCACGACCACCATCTTTCAGTGGCCGTTGTGTTGAGACACCGTCTTCACCACCCACGACGCCTCCATCTGGACCAGAAAGTGCCAGTATGCTGTCGATGAACGCGCGGGACCTAGATGCTTCAGGGCTATAAGGTCGCTCATATAAGTCAATAAGCATGATCCTATACCTCATTAGCTTGGGTACCAACAATCGACAATGGAGTCATACATAGTAGCATGCATTGGTTGATGGTTGCTAAGAAGAGATATCAGTTGCCCATGGTTCTTGGCCACCATACTAGCGGAAAGGCTTACCCAGGCCAGCTCCAATGAAATGGCTGGAAGTCAGGATCCGTTGCAAGTTGGATGAATTTTTCCATGAAACCATGGCAATGGCGAAGTGCACTATCAATATTAGCCCATATACT